TTTTTTTTTTTTTTTTTTTATATAACTTCTTCTCGCTTCTCCATTACCATCTTTTCTTTTTCACAACCTCCTCGCGAAACTTTCTCATTATCTGTATGAGAATGCACTAAGCTCCAGAAGCGTCCAATTAAATTGCACCTTTTTTTCTTTTATCTTCTCGGATAAATAAACGAGACAGAGATATATACGGTGAAAGGGATAGATATAGATAAAGAGAGAAAGTGAGATGAGCTTTCTGATGTCTATCAATAAAAACTACTCGTATTAATATATTCCTTCTTTTTTTTCATCTCTCAACCGTCCGCACAAAAAATTTGATAATTTATGCACTTTCAAATTATAAAAGATCGTATTTAATTCACCTATACTAAATTATATTTTATGTTAATAGAATTTTATTTTAAGTTTATTCAAATATACAAGTATCGTAATATTATTAAATCACCTAAATGAAAATCATAATTAGATCATAATATAATTATATCACTTAGATGTAAAACATGTTTTTATTGTAAGATTTTATGATCGTTCGAATACAAGAAGATCATAGTGTAATTATTAGATGATTAAATATAAAGATAAATGTAAGATAAATATAAGATAATAGAGATTAATGATATAGAACTTACCCGTCGATTAGGGGAACCTCCCTGAGTATTTTTCGTGCAGTTGCAAGCCGATCTACAGTGTGAGCTGCGAGTAGGATCCTCGTCAGGAGCTGACCCAGAACCATCACGCCCACCACCATCCTCATCCTCCTCCTCGCTGGACCCACAGTCCGTCCTTATTAAAGTCCTCATGCCATCACCGTCGACTTACCAACTCCTCCTCCTCCTCCTGCTCCCCCCTCTCCCTCTCCCTTCCTTTCCCACTTCCCCTTCTTCTTCCTCTTCCTCTTCCAGGATTCGTATACAAATTTTATGATCCACCTTACGTGTTACACTTTCAATTAATCACTGATTATAATATTAATCATTCAGCTGTGACGTATATTTGTTTCTTTTTACACTTTGTTTATTAATTTAAAAATATATTTCTAAAGAAACAAACAAATCACAGATATATAAGATTTACGAATGTAAAAACTAAACGAATGTCCTTATTATTAGATTTGAAAACACTCATTTTATTTTATTCAGTTGTGTTTTATTGATTTGTTAAATATTTAAATAATATTAAAACAACAAATCACATATCATGAAATTATTTTCAAAGAAACGTATTAATGTTGTTATTTTGAAAACACTTTATCGAACGTATCGAATAAACTTCCTTTACGATTATTCTTTTATTTTCAAAGCAGTTTGAAGATAACAAGATTCAAAGATCAACGTTGGCCCATTATTCTGGTGTCCTCTTTATCTTCTAGGCATTCGTCTTCCCCACGTATATCCACAAACGTTTTCCTCGATTTCTCACTTCCAACACCCACAGGACTACTTTTTCTACCGTCACGCTTGATTCGTCGATGTACTTTCCCGTAACTTCTTCCTTCCTTTCCTTTTTTTTTTCTTTATTTTTATCCCTCGAGTCACCCTCAAAAAGGATTAACCTTAGAAAATCATCCTTCCCTTCCCAATTCCTGTTCCTCTTCTTATTCTTATTCTTTGTCGACACTTACCCTTTATCTTTATCTTTATCTTTTTTCCTTTTTAACTTCTTTTATCTTTTTTCTATCTGTTCTTGGAATTCCCCTATCGAAGTTTGCTTCGAAAGATTTATTTCGATACCACGATCCAATATCTTCGTTCCTCTCCAAACCAAAGGACCCGTTATCTCGCGGTCCACTTTCAAGGATTATTCTACTCCTCGCATATCCTACTCCATCTCATCTTTATCTTTCCCGTTTTTCTTTACCCTTTCGAATGCACAATTCGAAGATTCGTGAAGAGACTGAAAGGAATCCTTAATTTGCATCTTCTTATAGAATCTCAAAAGAAGATCGTCCTTAAAACCTATTGGATTTTATACTTTTCTTTCTCTTTTTATTTTTTATATATATATGTAAATACACACATATGTAAATTTGATGGAAACTTTATTACTGGGAAAATTAAAAAATCTTTCGAATAAATCGATACGATTTTCTGCCAAATTGTTGTTATCTTCATTCTGTTCACTTCATCATCATCAACATCAACATTATCTTCATCTTCCTTTTCTTCTTTTTATTATTTTTGCTTTATTACAGATATGAATAATTATAAGCTTTCGAAAAATGTCACGAGCAAAGATAACAAATCTTCTTTATTATTCTTCCATTTTCTCAGAACGTGTCGGTTCTCTCGTACCAACTTTTTCACGACGTTTAATATTCCATATCATTTTCGGTATCCGTTGATTGTCAATTCGCGACCGGAAATCGATCGTTTAATCGTAAGTACATTTACGTATACATATATTAGTAGAAATTCTGCACTAGATTATTCGCGATTAATTACGTACAGGAAAATTAGGCGACAATGTTATTCGGTGACTTTTTTTTCCGGGACGTCAATGCTTAAATAGATTACTTTTTTTATCCCCTGTTAACACACAACAACAACAAAAGAAATCACAATTTTTCCCATATCAATTCAACATTTTTAACATGTTAAATTTACGAAATATAAAAATAAGAAAAAATAACAACAAAAATAATACAAGGAAAACAT